CCTTCTTTTGCCCAAGGAGAAAAAAGGTGAAAAGGACTCAATCACAATTTTACCTCAATCACCCCTTTGTATTCAGAGTTTGCTCCCTTTTGGAATGAAAGCATGTCCTTGGTGGAAAAAGCTATGGAGACCTGGGGAGCAAATATTGGATTTCTTCCCTCACACAGGGCACAAACATCTTTCAGCAGTATCAGGCTGAGCTGGAAAAGCAGCAGAGCTGACTGCAGAATGAAGGTGATGCTCTGCTCACAGTTTCCAAGGAACTGTTCAGCCCTGTCCCTCCATCCCAGAGGATTTACAGCAGGGAATGTCTCTGTGTTGTAGCTGTGTTAATCCACCCCTTTGTTGGTGGCTGTTGGGGTGATGTGGGAAGTTGTTGGCAGGGCTGCACAACCCCACGTGAAACCTTCCTGCTGCCGAGCTTTGGCAGAAATGTGAAGATTTATGAAAGGATCTGACAGTGCTCTGGGATAGAAATGAACCTGGCCCAGGTTATCATTTCTCCATAAATACAGAACCAACAACTCTGCTCTAAATTCACTGCAAGGAATTCAGTGAGGAACCAGGGGAAGGATGCAGGATTTGGAAATCGGTAGGTTTGAAAAATTGAGGTGAATTTTGAGGCTGGCACACTGTGAGAAACCTGGAATGTGTCCTCATGGCACATCTGGGGTCATGTGTGGGCACCTGAGGGGGAGCACCAAGACGGAATTTCTTCCAGGGTGGAATATTCCAAGAAGGAATTGTATTTCCTGAGGAATAACCCACCCTGGGAAAGCACCATCAGTGCAGCTGGTGCAGTAAACCAGGCTGCTCCCAGCCCCATCCAACCCGGCCTGGACACTCCCATGGATGGGACAATCCCAAACAGATCAATCTGCTCATACAGCAACATCTCTCACTGTAGCTGCTGTAATGATTTGAAAAATGGTGCTAATAATGGAAAAGTGTTGTCTTTAAAGGATAAAAGAGCTGGGTTATTTTATTGCAGAGTAGTGAGGCAGAGGCTTGTCCAAAGGGACAAGTGTGGGAGGCAGGGTAAGAACTCTGGCTGCCAATCAGGGCTTTTCATTGGCATTTACAGCTCATGTTTGTACCTCTGTCCTAAAAATATAAAAATTTATTTGTCTTATAAATAGCAGGAAGAAGAAAAGAGTAGAGAAGAACCTCACCTTCCTTTCCTAATTTATAGTAACTGATACTAATATTCCAGAACCTGAATATGTTGAGTAGGGTGCTGTATCTCAGCTTCCCTCACCAGCTCCCAATCAGAGCTGACTTTGAATTCTTGAGGACATTTGCCTTTGCTGTATCTTCTTTCTGATGAGCATCTGTGTCTAAGACCCTGTGGCTGTCTTGGGAACATTAGCAGGGGAGATAAATTAGGCTGTTTGACATCATCTTGTGGATAAATATTTTCTTTTAGGATTCTCAAAGGCCCTAAGTAAAGAACAGGGGAGGCTGTGACAGATGCTGTCATGTGAGGAGAACTCTCCTCGTGCCAATGGCCCCAGTGAATATCTTGTGTCGATTTACAGGATCTTTTACACTCTGATTTTATTCCTCAGTGCTGGGGAGTTTAAAAATTAACCTAATTTTTAAGTTTCTACAACCAGCTGGAGGTGAACTTGTTCATATGATTTCTCTTTGCTTTACCAAATCTTATAACAAAAAAAAGTTGACCAATATTTGGCACCGTGTTCTTCTTTTCAGTTTGGGTTTGTTTGTATTTTGTCCCCACTTTAAATCATCTTTTGATTCAGTCTTTGAAATATTCTGCTGGGACACTTTCAATATTGAAAAGTTTGGGCCTCTACTCAAACAATTTGACCCGTGAGGCCACAGTTCCTTCTCTGGAACTTGGGAAGCATAAAATGAATTTTAGTTCCATATCAATATTTCTTTATTCCTCCTCTTTTCTTTATTCCTCTAAGTCTTTTGGAGTCACAGCAGCACAGTAAGTGTTTACACACCACACAGCCACTACCTTGTGCTGCTGCTCACCCCATATCAGCCTGTCAGCATCAAAAAATAAACCTGAAGATCACTGGAGGTGATCTACTCACTTCGATTCACTGCCCCCAAGAATATTACTTGTTATGATCTAATCCTTTCTATTAATACTTTGAGAAAGAGGATGAGCAGCACTGAAGTAAAAGTAGAAATTCTTGTTAGAGCATGTATCCTTTCCTAAAAACCCTTTTTTTTTTTGTAAGCCAAGACCAGATCCCTGGCAAGGTCTTTGCTCCCAGCCTGGTTTCATCCAGAAGAAAAAAAAACTTGGTCAGCTGTAAAAATGGAGGGGTCAGAGAAATATATGTGTATTTAATTTGAAGACAATCCTTTGCATTTGTCCAACCAAGCCCTTCCTAATTTTTGGTAAAAATTATCTATGCAGTATTTCCATACATGAAACCAAAAGGTGCTGGGGCAGAATGGGGAATGGTGAAAAGAATGAGAAAGAACCCACTAGTAGTGGGTTAAAAATAGAGACAGTGGCACAAATATGTATTTAAATGTCCTTTTGCAATGATACAATGCTTGTTAAGGCCAGGTGCTCTATTGGGTAGGTCAGGAGGTTAAATATAGCACCTGGGATGTCAGGACATTTATCCATCATACCCTGAGAGACTCCTGTTGGATAAGCAGGACTGATTGAACTCAATATTTAAACACGTTAAGCACAATAAAATATTTTTTGCTTTAAATCTTTGTGATTGAAATGCAAACCAGCATCTTTTTGTGCCCCAGTAGTTTTACAGCATTCTGTCTTTAGGTCAGAATTGCTGAGCACATGCTCATTTATGTGCTGTGGATAAATCTGGCCTGGGGTGTTAACCTGGGGCAGAGCTGCCAGGCTCCACCTAGGGCACAGTTAATGCTTTTGAAACATTTGTCCCCCAGAAAGTGAAGTTCATATTCTCACAACAAAGTTAAAAGCTGGATTTGATGATCTTGGAGGTCTTTTCCACCCTTAATGATTCTATGGTTTTGTGAATATTCCATCAGAAATCAGAGTCAGACATAAATTTGCACAACAATGCAATTTAAAAGAAAAAAGGAATATTAACCATAAGTATTCCCTTTACCTCATACACATTTGGAACAGGGAGGTTTGGAATCCCCATCCCTGGAGGTGTCCAAGGAATTCCTGGAGGTGGCACTCAGTGCTCTGGGCTGGGGACAAGGTGGCCATTGGGCACAGCTTGGACTCCATGGGCTGGGAGAACTTCTCCAGCCTCAGTGATCCTGGGATTCTCCTTGCACACGCCATGGCAATAGTTTTGTCAGAGCTGTTCCTTGAGATTTGGAGCTGAAGGAGCAAAGCAACAAAATGCAGGAATTGAAATATTTCCTCAAGTGACCCCAGAGCACCCTCCTCCCCCTCTTCATGCTTTGATACCAGAACAAAACCTTATGTTCAACCTAACTTTTCATTTCACCACTAATGTTTTCATTCCTAGCTCCTTTCTGTAACCCCCATGGGTTATTCCATGCTTTTTTTCCAGCCTGAGCTGTGCTGCTGAAGATCTGCCACATTTCACACTAAAGACAGCTGCATTTCAGTGGCACTAAAAGTGCTGCTGGCATCCTGCATGTAATTTTAGCCTTGTTTGGTGTCTTTCTAAACAAGGTATCAGCAGTGTAAAATGGTCTGAAGGTGATGTTCCAGAACACAGGGCTTGCAGAGTATCACTGAGGGAGAAATTTTTTGCAGGAACTCCCAGGATTGAGCTGGAATGACAATAATGAATTACATGTTCGGTAAGGAAATCTGGCCCTCCACTCCATTAAGGTTTGCTGTTGATAATGAAGATGTCACGTTTTGCATCCAATCTAGTGAGAAGCAGCACTTGGGAGGAAAAGGGGCCTGTGAGTTATTTCTGGAATGCACACACGGAGGAGCAGGATCAGAGAGCAGCAGGTTACGCTGATGTTCCTCTCCAGAGACTCCACCAACACGCTGTGGTAATTCCTGGACAATTTCGAAAGACGTTAAGAAACTTAAATGAACAGAAATCAAATGAAAAGGGGAAGGATTGCCTAGCAAAGCAAAATGCAGAGTAATTGAAAATGGCGTGGCCAGAGGAGACAGGGAGGGGTCTGCAGCTCTGGGCAGAGTCTAAAATACTTGGCAGTAGTGAATGAGATATGATATTTCATCTGGATATAAATATGAACTTGTGGAAAGAGTTAAGGAAAAAGATGTCTCTCAAGGGCTCCTGACAGTCATTTACTGAATTATGTGATCTAGCACATGGAAAAGGACCATTGTTGATATTGGCTTTTGAATGCACCTCCTTGAAGAACCAAAGTCAACTCTATTTGTCAGTTGAGTGATCCCCTAAGAAGTCACGTCTATTATCATCACCCTGATTCTGCTCCATACATCACAGCGTTCCTGACCTTCCAAAATACCAGGGTTGCTCCCCTGTCACTTAATCTGTTTATCAACTCTTCTTGGACTTCCTTCACCAGGGATGTTGGCTCTTTGTTGGGTTCCTTCCTTGCAAACAGGTCACACGTTCCTTAAGCGATAAAATTTCTTAAGCAATAAAAATATTGTTGCACGATTAGCATGAAGGTGAAAAAGCTCTTCAGGTGTACTTAAGGGCTGAAATTAAAGATGTTTATACTAAAATTTAGTTTGCAGTGTGGACTCCTCAAGTTCAGAGATCCTTTAATTTGGATGGTGTTTATTCAGGCACATAATAGGAATGAAATTGCCTCCATCAATCGAAATTCAGTGTTATTATCCACTCTGATAATTACATTTTTCCATGGGAGCACTCCCTTGGGTTTTTCTGGGGCTCCACCTCACCGAGCCCTGGCGAGCTCCAGCCAAGCTCTGGTGTGTTTTGGGTTTCCTGAGGAGCACGGAGGTGCCCAGCTCCCTTTCCTTGATGCTGCTGAGAACAGGTGGCCTCCCTCGGGGTCACCAAGTATATTTAGGGATGAAACTCGAGCGGGCTGGAACCAGATTGGCTGTGTGGGCCACAGGCGTCACCGGGAGCCGCTGAACCCCTCGCTCTCGCCCAGTGCTGCTCAGGAGGGAAGACTGGAGAGCCTTTGCTCCAAAGGATATATACTGGATGTCACTGGTAAGAACATTTTAAATGCACTTCTTTTCCTTAGAAGAGGATCTTGAGCTGTTTCCCCATTCTGTAGTTTTTTGGGAATACTTGTTGTGCTTTGCCCACGGAAGTCAGGTTTTCTGTCTGAATAATTGGCTGCGGATTGGAGGAGGAGGAAAAGACCTGGAATGGGGTTTGGAAGTGTGGCTGAAGCGTTGTAACAGTGACAGGTTGAAGAGACTGTGTTTATATGCAAACCCCACTTCTTGAGTTTATTCATACACCTCGGCTTACTGTTCCATGTGACTCGTTACTCATTTTTTGAGTCATTCTTAATTTATTTTAATAGTTAACAACACGCTTATTCCAATTCATTTTTTGGCCATTTTTCTCAGCCCACTGGGACTAAAAAGGGCCAGTATTCTGTGTTCCTATATTTAACCTGCATGACTTGACTTCCCTTGCCTCAGAAGGAATTGCAGTTTAGCCAGCTCAACCCAACCGCCCCATCAGTTGGCAGGATTAGCTTACATGGCAAATATCCCTGGACTCAGGAGCAGCTGTTCCAAAGCCTCATCCCCTCCCAACATTAGAAACAGGGCTGCAGACTCTGGTGGAAAATTGTAGCTTTGCCTCACAGCAAAATCAGTGTGTTAATTAATTTGTTCAAAGGTTCTGACACTAATCTGTGCTTTGTACTTCAGCCAACTCTATGGATTTTCATCTTTTCCAGGTCTGAAGGAAGAGAGAGAAAAAACCCACAAGAGATTAAAAAAACAACCCCAGAGCATCTGTGTAGGCTGATGCTGGGAAGACAGAAATTGCCTCATTAACCTAAGGTCACTTAAAAAAATATTTACAATATTTTTCTACATTATGCTCTTACTTATGAATGAATATAATAGAATATAAATCTCCCATTCAAATGTGAGCTTGAATGATATAATGGAATAGCATAGAATAGTCACAGAGGAAAAGAAAAATGCTTCAAATAATTCAATTGTAATGAAAATATCACATCATGTTTCAAGAGATCTCTTTTTTATTTTCTCTTTTATTTTATTTATCTCTTTTATTTTATTTTCATTGGTTCCAGTGTTGGTGTTATAACTGGAATGAGGTATTTGTCCAAAATTGTCATTTACATCAGTATGTTTGAAACTCAATCCAATGGTTTTCCAAAACTGTCCAAGTAATGCCCGATCCCAACTTTATTTAGGGTCTGGCTAGTTACTAACCACGACCCCAAGTGTTTTATGAGCTTGACTTGTACCTTCTCATGGTACTTTCAGTCATGGGCTAATACTGTTTATTCACATTTTCACCTGCTGCGTGACCAGAGTTGAGGAAAGACAGAAGCAAACCCTCAGAATGGAGGAAGAAGAATACGAGGAAGTTGTGGAGGTAAGAGGAAAATGTGAGAGTGGAAATGTTTGTTTCCTGCCTTGTGACTGAATACATTCATCACCTTACTGAGATGCTGCTCAGGAGCAGAGGCTGCTGTTTGCTCTCTGAAGATTAGTGATGATTAGATATCTATTAAATGATTTCATCAGTAAAACAACAACAACAACAGTTGCTCTCAGTGGAGCAAAGTCTCCTGGTTCCTGTCATAGTTTCTCAGTTTAAATAAGGACTGGAACCATCCCACACTCACAGTGCGAGGTTTTCTGATTACTCTCAATGTAATTATAGATGCCCTGGGCCAGTTCCTTTCCCTCCTGGCTTGCCCTCTGTCACCCAATCCATGCTGGAGAAGATGACTTTGGAAGCCCCTTTCTAGCCCTGCCTCTGCAGAAATGCAGCAGCTTTGTGCCACCAGGGGACCACAAACCAATTTAGCCTGAGACATTACAGAGATGGAGCCAGGTTTAAGTGACAGCACAAGGGGGGAGGACTTTAAACTGACAGAGGGTAGATTTAAATTCGGTATCAGGAAGAAATCCTTCCCTGTGAAGGTGGAGAGTACCTGGCACAAGGCTGCCCCTGGATCCCTGGAAGTGTCCAAGGCCAGGCTGGAGCAGCCTGGGAGAGTGGGAGGTGTCCCTGCCATGGCAGGGGGTGGAATAGAGGATCTTTAAGGTCCCTTCCAACCCAGGGCATTCTGTGATTCCATGATTCTTTGTCCATGGAAGTGCATCATGGATTAATTTGCCAGTATTTAAACTCACAGGTGGATGCTGAATTATTTAATCTCAGGAAACTGAATAAAAAAATTCCCCAGGAGCTGGGCAACCTACAGCTGGAGCCACCGGAACAAGGACTTTGTTATTGAAAGTATACAAAATTAACAGCGTGGTCTTACTTGTTGCATTGCTACTACACTGAAATTAACTTCTGTGTTATGAAATACACAAAGTCTTGTAAAAAGTCACTCAGTGTTTGAGGAAAAGAACAAGAGTATAAATGTAAACATCCTATAACCCATTGCCACCACGCTGTGTTCAGCAAACTGTTGATTTCAGGTGGTGTGAGGACACTGCCAGCTTTATGTACTTCAAATAGTGAATGAAGTAAAGCCAAATGATTTGCTAGTCAGAGCAGTTAAATGCATTTTGCAAAATAGGTGTCAGCACTCATAAAGTTGATTTTAAAGACATTTTACTACCCAGCTACCACAACACCAACCATTCATTGAATTTCTTATTCCCATGTTACTTGTAATTGACTTCATGTTTCCTGTGCATTGTGTGTTCTCTGTAATGGATATTTATTTGCTCTCATTGTTTATTTATTCCAGCAGGAGTTACGGTATTTTTGACTTTCTTTTCACACAGCCCCATTTCATCCTTTGTTTTTAATTTTCAATGACCACCTTGCTGTAACCACATCCCTTGGGCTGAGACACACTGCTTTAGTAGCTTCCCTTGGGATACTCGTGGTGAGATGCTAAATAAAAGAGGAACAACAACAGCATCTGGTAGAATTTTAAGCCTTTCCAGAATTTTCTTAATCCCTGTATAAATCCAAAATTTTAAACCTATAGGTGCTATCAGAAATTCATCTTCTGAAGGAGGACAGATCATTGAATACTGAGCAGATGAGGCATCGCCAAGGATTTTAAGATGATATTTTTTAATCTTTCTCTGGAATTATGAGCCATTACTGGATGTTGTAGCTGTCTTGGGATGTGCAAAAATCTACAGTGACTGATGCAAGCATTTGCTGCCAAGTTACTTGAGGTTTTATGGAAGGTTTTATATAAAATTTATGGAAGATTTTGCAGGGGGGTTTGTGGAAGGTTTTGTGGAAGGTTTTGTAGAAAGTCTGTGGAAAACTTTGTGGAAGATTTTGCAGAGGGTTTTGTGGAAGATTTTGTTTTGTAGAAAGTTTGAGGAAGGTTTTGTAGAAAGTTTGAGGAAGGTTTTGTGGAAGGTGGTGTTGAAGGTGGGTCCAGCATGGAAATCACCTCACAGCAGCCCAGTATGCCACAGCTTGGAAAGAACAGCTTGGTCACTTGAACTAACTTTGAGGAAGAGCTCTCAGAAAGGGGCTTAAATTCCAACGAGAAATTTTATAGGTTTCAAAGGGTTTTCCATTCCCGCAGTAGTGACCCCAAGCAATTACCAAACTCGGAGGAGATTTTCCAAAAGAAACCCCGCATTTTCCCATTTTTTTTTGTGCAGGTGAAGCACATCCCGCAGACAGAAGGTGCTGTTCCCGCAGCAATGTCTTTTAAAGTGTTTTTTATCGTCATTTCTCAGCGGGGCAGGCGCGGGAGGCCGAGGCCCCGGCGGCCCCCTCAGCGCGGCCGCCATTTCCGCGGGGCGGCGCCACCGCCCGGCCGCGGGCGGGAAGTGGCGGACGGGGAATTAATTTTCCCCGAAATCCCACAAAAACCTCTCCTGGCACAACCTGAGGCTGTTTCTCATTGTCCTGTCGGTTATTCCCCGAGAGCAAAGGCCGACCTGGCTGCACCTCCTGTCTGTGCGGAGCCAGAAGGTTCCCCCTGAGCCTCCTTTTCTCCAGGCTGAGCCCCTTTCCCAGCTCCCTCAGCCGCTCCTGAGGCTCCACATCCTTTCCCAACTCTGGAAAAGATGCTCCGCTGGACGTGGTGCTCACAAACAAGCCAGAACTGATGGAAAATTCAGAGATCGAGGGCTGCACTGACCATGGGGCAATGGAGCTGACGACACAGGGAGCAGTGAGCAAAATAAATGGAATTATCCCAGACTTTGGAAGAGCAGAATTGGGGCTGGTTGGGGCAAATCCTGTGGGAAACAGCAAAGGAACCCAGGTTAGCTGGGTGATCCTTCAGCTTGAATTTCCCTGAGCACACAGCTCAGCCCGAAGTGCAGAAATCAAACAGCAGGAGGATGGGGTGGAGGAATACAGAGACCCTGACTAAGAAAAATGACACAAAAAAGAAATATACTGAAGGTGGAAGCAGGAGCAGACAACTTGGGAAAAACTTGAAGATTTAAAACATTACAAACTCCATTCCTACATCCATGGGCAATGTTCAGCTGGATTTGGACTTCAAGAAAGGCAAGAAGGAAGATCCAGGGAGCCACGGGCTGGTCAACCTCACTTTGGTCTTTGGGAAGGCTGTGGAACAAATCCTTTGAGAAGCTATTTTTAAACACATGAAAGACATGAAGGTCATGTGGAGAAGTGAACACTGAGTTGTCAAGAGCAATCTATGGCTGATGAATCTCATTAATTTTTATAATGAGTTCACAGCTGCTGTGGACATGGGGAGACCAGTGAAGGTTGTGTACCTGGTCTGCTTTAGGGAAACCTCCCATTGTGGTTTTATCCCCAAATTTATGAGATGTGGTTGGATAATTGGCAGTGAAATGGGTGAAAAATCAGCAGGTTCAGAGTTGTGATCAGCAATAAAGTTTAACTGGCAGCTGGAAATTATTGGTGTCCTTGTAGGAGCAACCCTGAGGACAGCAGTCATGAGTGTCACCAAATAAAAACCAGGAAAATCCTGGGGTTTAAATGCTGATTCTTTTAGTGTGGTCATCAGTGTCTTCCTACTTGTGGGTAAAATTAGATAACAATCTTTCATTGATTATTTGGATGATTACTAGATGGGGAATGTATGGAATGAAAATCCAATCCTTAGTGCAAAATGTGAACAGATATTCAGAGTTACCAAATGACTCCATTAGCACCTGGGAACTAAAATCCTGTTTCTCCAGAAATATGTTTTAAAACAGCTTCACAGAAGCTACAATTTGCTGATCTGGCCTAACAATGATGTTTTATCTCTTTTCTTTCGAAGTACTACATTGAGGAGACAATTATTGAGGAGGGTGAGCCACACGAGGTAAAGGTCCCTGTCATGCTGCTTGGAGCACATAAATGCATGTAATTAACATGAAACACTTAATTAGCAGCCTTTTGTATTCTGAGGTTTAATTTTTCACATTAAACATGCAAATATATCAGTGAAAAATTGCTGCTTAATACTTTATTTTTGCTTCAAGTCCCTGCTGTGTGATGGTCTAAGATCAGTTTACATGTATCTGTTCTGTTCCCTTCACCTTGTGCAATTTCACTGAAAAATTACAGTTTTGCAGGTCTTTCATCATGTCACTGGTAACAAAATATTTGGGTCACTAAGGAGTGACTGCTGTAATTTGAAATTCTACTTCTGAAACAGCTATAACCCAACTCTGCTGTTTTATCATTAAATATTCTTTATGGCATGGGCTTATGCAGAATCAGAAGTTATTAATTGTGTAATTCTTGGTGCATTTTCAGCTCTGTCTCATTGATGCAAATAGTTCTCAGAACTCTGACCTTCACGAATTCCTTTTTAAAGGCAATTTTTTATAAAGCTAAATGATATGAAATAAAACCTGACACTTATTTGGGTGTTTTCGGAGCACGTTTTTTTAGTTGTGATAATTATTTTAGATGCTTCTCATTAGAATCTTAGCATTAAAATTACTGCTTGCAGCATGACTATGTTGATAAACAAGTGTATAAAACATTTAAATAGATTGGAAATTAATGCATGTAGAGCAGAGGCAGCTGGAGCCCCACTCTCCCAGACCCTCTGGAGAATAATTCCATGAGTTTGATGCAGGAATCAACCAGAGAGTTCATTCCTTGTGGGTTTTTTTAGGGTGGATGACATGGTAATCCCAGTAGGAAAAGTGTCCCTGATTTTCTGTCTCCATCTGGATCTGGGTGAGAACAGAGCATCCTTCCACCAGCTCAGGGGGGGGTGAAAAACGCTTATCCTAATGAACTTTTACAGCTATAAAACAAGTGATTATTGGATTTCTGTGATCTCCAGGTGGTCACTGAGACCATCAGCACAGATTACTCAGGCCTGAGACCACCTCAACCACCTACACAGCTGAGCACACCCAGCTCAGGGGGGTGAAAACCCTTATCCTAATGGACTTTTACAACTATAAAACAAGAGATTATTGAAATTCTTTAATGCCTAGGTGGTCACTGAGAGCACTGGGACCATCAGCACAGATTACTCAGGCCCTGAGACCACCACAACCACCTACACAGCTGAGCACACCCAGCTCAGGGCAGTGAAAAACGCTTATCCTAATGAACTTTAACAGCTATGAAACAAGTGGTGAATGGATTTTTTTCATCTCCAGGTGGTCACTGAGATCACTGAGACCATCAGCACAGAATACTCAGAGCCTGAGACCACCACAACCACCTACACAGCTGAGCACACCCAGCCCTCCAGGGAGGATGCAGCCCCTCCCATCAGGAAGAAAACAATCCGGACAAAAGTGGACCCATCCAAGTTTTTGACACCTTACTTGGAACACAGCAATAAAATGAAGGACCTGTTCAGTGAGGTAGGTTGTCCCATGGCTCTTATTTATTGAGGAACACCAGCTTTGAAACTGTTTTGTAGGGGTTGTTGAATAGTTATAGTGCAAATAACTGGACTTATCAATCTCATGGGGAGAATGTAATAAATTAGAGGTGATCCAAGTTAGAGATGGATTTTTTCCTGTTAGAAATAATTCTGTTTATTCAAATGGAAAAAACTCAGTTGGCTAAGATAAGCATAAGTGCAAATGTAATTGAATAATTTTAGTTTATATTATTGAATAATTTGCCCCAAAGTCCTGTCCTAACCAGATAAATATGGCAATAATTGCTAATACAGTTCTGCCAGAGCTTGGGGATATGTCTTAATTATTTTTATCATTATTTTCTTCCAGAATAAATACAAAGAAAAATTTAGAAAAGAAAAAGGAAAGCCATATGCTTCCACAATTGATACCCCAGAAATCCGGAGGATCAAGAAAGTGCAGGACCAGCTGAGTGAGGTGGGTAACAACTGCATTTCTAGGTTCATTCGGGTTCTGGGTGTTTATATGAAGAGTGAAAATGTCATTATTCTGGGGTTTTTATTTTAAATCAGTCAGTTTTGCTGTAGAATCAATGAACTTTGTTGTGCTCCAGGTTAAATACCGCATGGCTGGGGAAATTGCCAGAACCATTTGCCACGTGGATGAAAAGGCCAAGGATATAGAACATGCAAAGAAAGTGTCACAGCAAGTGAGCAAGGTGAGCAACTTCTGACTTTCCCAGCACTGGTGGATCTTGAGGTTACTGGTAAGAACAAAGTTTTGAGCTCAGGGTGCTAAAGCAACTTTTTTGCAACAGTTTAGAAGCCCAGGGAGGCATAGCAGAGAAGTTGGTAAGGCAAATAGAAATATAATCTTAAATATTTCCAGTTGCTCTCTTCAGATGTTACTGCTCTGAGACTTTGGTTTCAATAAAAAAGTCTTTAAAACAGGCAGTTTATTCACAAAAGTAAATATTTTTTTTAATGGTAGAGTGACCAACTTGCTGAACTTTCCTTTCAGGTATTATATAAACAGAACTGGGAGGAGAATAAGGACAAGTACCTGCTTCCCCCTGATGCTCCAGAGCTTGTGAATGCAATAAAAAACACAGCAATGTTCAGCAAGGTAAGAAAAAACAATCACAGGTCTCAGCAGCTGAAGTGAAAGAAGCTTTCAAAGCCAGAAATTAATTAATTATGAGCATTCTGGCATTTTTCTGGTTTTTAGAAACTCTATACTGAAGACTGGGATGCAGACAAAACATTGTTTTATCCCTACAATGACAGCCCAGAGCTCAGAAGAGTGGCACAGGCTCAGAAGACTCTGAGTGATGTGAGTATCAAAGCAGAGATTTGCATGTAGGTACCAAGGGCTGTTGGGTTCTGGTGTAACCTGGGACATGCCATGGACTTTGATTGGATATAAAAGCTTCAAATGGAACAGAAAAATGTGTTAAGTGTGCACTGACAGCTCTGATAGTAGTGGCATTTCATAGAAAAATACCTATTTGATGTTAGAGTACAAAGTAGAGCATATCAGAGTATAAATCTGTTGGCAGTTTGATGCTGGATGAGGAATGAATGAAATCATTAATTTATTAAGTGAGTAAGAAGACCTCGAGTATCTCCCCAAATGCAGGAACTCTCAGGGCTGTCTCCAAGTCCAGCTCACTCTTGTGGGTGTGCAAATGTGCCTCTAAAACAGTGCTAGGAAAAGTCAGGAACTGCTGGGACTGGGATTTGGTGATCTTTAGATACACAGAGTTCTGTGTATGCTCTTCAACAGGGGATTTCAGCTCTCACTTGAAGATTTGAGTGAATTTTGCAGATGTCCAGAAGTTCCCTGATAATACACAGATTAAAGAATCCCTGCTGCAGGGTCTTTGGGCAAAACTTCTTTTATTAATGGGGTGGTAGCAGAATTCAATGCTGTGATGCTCAAATAAATGTTTATTTCTTCCATCCTTTCAGATTGTCTACAAAAAGGGGCATGATGAAAGGAAAGTAAAATTCACCTCTCTGCCAGACCCCCCTGAGGTGGAACAAGCCAAGAAGGTGACACGGCAGCTGAGTGATGTGAGTAGAACCTGCTGCCCAAACCCCACTCCTGCAGGTAGAGAGACAAAAAGGGACCTAAGGAAAGGGAAGGCAAAAGGAAAAGCACACACACAGGAAGACCAACTTTAGCTGGAGAAACTGGGACCAAGTTGCATAATCTTGGAAGTAGGGTTTTAACTCCATTCAGAATTTAACTATTTTTTTTTTTTAATTTTATTGTGTATTGAAAATTATCTGCACTTTAAGATTAGAAAATTGCAGTATTTACTCATGGTGGAGAAAAATTTTTCACTAAGAAAATTACATTGACCTGTTTGTAAGGTAAAAGAATTAATTTGGAGAAAATTTCCTTAATCTTATATTTCCATAGCTTAAAAGCTAAATTGTCATCAAGAAAACTTTATAGCATGTAAATAAAAGGATCAGTTCCATAATTATTTGAAATTAATAAAATAATAAGCTTTGTAGGTATCTCCAAAACTATAAAATATAGATTTAATTTTTTTTAAAGATTATTTTTGGCATATATGTTCTTTAGCAATGTTAAAAAAACATTGGAGGAGTTTTATTTTTTATGGTAAGTCATGCAACTGTGACTGAAAATGTACCTGGAACACTGAGTCAAAACTCAGGCAGGTGTTTTGTTGTTAGACAAACTCTTTAAACCTTTAATGCTTGATTTCTGTGAGCTTGAATAAACAATAGAAATCACAAATACCACGTAGTTAAAAAAAATAAAATTATTTAAAATAAAAGGTTTGCTTATAGCTAGTTCCAGCAGCAATACCAGTAAATTCTGACTTAATGGGCAATATCCTAATATTATGTGACCAGGGAGAAAACAGAACTAAAGGAATACATTAGAGATTATTTATTTATCCTTTTTAGGTCAGGGAAGGTACTAAGAGAAATGACTTAACACTGAAATGGTTTGGCCAAATCGTATTTAAGGTGTTTTTGACCATAACTGCTAAAATAGTTATAAGGCAGGTGTCAAATATGAAGCAGCTTTAAAAAGACAGCTTTGAAAAATGAATCTGTCAAGTTAAAAATGGAGCTGTGTCTTGGGGATTCAATTTTATTGTTCTGTTTCCTTATAGGTTATTTACCATGAGGACTATAAAAACAAAATCAAAGGCAAGTGGAGTCAAACTCCGTGCTATGACGTGGCAATTGCAAAAATGAATGCAGAAAATCTAAGTATGGTGAGTGAATCCTGCAGGAAATCTTTATCCCTGCTTATGTTCGTTTGGAAAATACCAAGGCTCCATTTGTGGCATTGCTTATTTCCTAAATAATCCCTGTTGTAGATGTTGAATTTACAATTAGATGATGTCTTGTTTTCTGTTTGTTCCTAACAGAGGAAATACCAGGAAGACTTTGAAAACATGAAAGACCAAATCTACTTCATGCAGACTGAAACTCCAGAATATGAGGCCAACAAACGAGCTTCAGATAATGTCAGCAAGGTGAGGGACCTGTGTGCCACCTGTTCAGCTTGGGAACAATTCTGAGCTCACACAAGTTTATGCCAAAATTGTTTTGGCAAGATCTTTTGTGGTCCTTTGCTACCATAAGTTAAATAACAGAGGCATTTTTCCTGGATAGTTGAAGATTATATCATAGAATAGATTCATATCTATTCATATCTTTTCTTAAATGCCAAACCATCACACTATCACAGAATGGTTTGGGTGGGAAGGGACCTTAAAGACCACCCAGTGCCACCCCTGCCATGGCAGGGACACCTTCCATTATCCCAGACTGCTCCAAGTCCCATCCAGCCTGGCCTTGGACACCTCCAGGGAGAGGGCAGCCACAGCTGCTCTGGGAAATCACACAGGTTAGTGAGCATTTGGCTTTTAATACTGATTTCTTACCCCCCGCCTTTTTTTTTTCTTTTTATTCTTTCAAGTTCAAATACAGAGCAGACTATGAAAAGAAAAAAGCTGTTGCAGATTATAATGTGCTCCCTGCTACAGAGAACCCATTGCTGAAGCAATTAAAAACTGCAGCAAATATTCTGAGTGATGTGAGTATTATCAACGTGCAACTACAGCCTTTTCAGTCATGTATCAGAAACCACACTCACCATCTCTTCACAAGGCTTCTCCTTTGGATCCTGCAGAGTTTTTAGTTTTGTAGACCCATATTTGTTATGAGATAGCACCAGCCAGAACAATTCAGGTAAAGAATGAATTCTCCACAGATGAGGGTAGCAACAGCAGTGCCACGTGGATGGCTAATTGGTGGATAGTTCATTTAGATCCTTGTGGATAATGAATCAGAAGAGGACAGTTCTTCCCTTACTGTTTTAAGGAATTTCAGCTAATAATGATAATAAATGTAGTGCTTTTACATATTTTTCTATTATATTTTGGTTATTCACTGTAATGGTCTTCTCAATTCCTCTTTTATTTGTATGAAAAGAGATTGAATATTTTTCAGTGTTAGAAGTTCAAAAACCATTAGTCAGACCTTTCTGTCTTTCCTTACAAACCTAAAAAATAGTTATTTTTAAGGACCATTGGGAAAACAGTGCCATCTGTTTCTCAATCCTGTGGGAAAGATTTTCTTTGGAACTGTTTCTCTGTTTTTCTCTTGTGGGGGTGACTTGCAGTGAAATCTCCTGCATGATCTGCTATTATTTGATTTGCAGAAATTGTACAAAGAAGCCTATGAACAATCCAGAGGAAACAGGATGAATTACTGTGAGACACCCAAGTTCCAGACTGATGCTGCTCTGAAGAACTTTAGTGATGTAGGTATTTCACTTGGGGTTTATCCTTCAGTACTGACCCTCTCCATTACTTTTGCTTCTCAACTCATGGTTATTTTGGCAGGTAAAATATAAAGATGCATATCAGAAGAATATTTTGGGGCACTACTTGGGCAGCTTTGAGGATCCACATCAAATCCACTGCATGAAGGTTGAAGCTATGAAAAGTGATGTAAGTGTGACAGTCGTTCTGTTTTCCCCATCACTTTGGCAGTTTTGACAAAGCTCAGTTCTGGTTCTTTACTGAATGTTAATCTTGTTTCTAGAAAAATTACAAAGCAGATTATGAGGAGGAAAAGACAAAGTGCTACTTCCCTCAGACCATAACTCAAGAGTATGAAGCAATCAAGAAGTTGGAGCAATGTAAAGATGTGAGTACAGGGCAGCAGTTGTTCACCACAGAAAAGTTAACTGAGTGATCCCTGGTAACATCAGCGATTCTGAGTTTGGCCTCATTGCCATTTGTGACTTTTAAAAAAACCCAAAAAACCTTCATCTTTATTTTAGAGCCGTTTGTGACATCTAGTGATCAAAACAGATATAGCACAATCCTTTTTATAACCAATAAAGCCATAAAATGAGAGCGGTAGTACCAAAATGAAGAATGAACCTCAAACATTCACCTGCTTAAACCAATATTTAAAAAAATTAATACTTTAAAAGTACTTAAGTTCATTCACTAATACTTTTATTTATCTTATCCACACTTGGAAAATACTTTATATGTATTTTCTACAAATATTTTTTATCTTCTTTCAGTACACCTACAAAAAGCATCCTGATCAAACCAAATTCACTTCAGTGACTGACTCTCCAGTACAGAAGCAAGCAGAGATCAACAGCAAACAGCTGAGTGATGTAAGTAAATTTTGGAAACACTCTGACATTCCCAATTTCTGCCTGGTGCCCACCTTCACTTCATCCTCCAGCTTTAAGAGCACTCCTGAAATAATTGTGTAGGTGACAGCGTGTATTCACAATTTAATTCCAGCAGAACATCACCTGGAAATCAGATTTTCTAAAATAGTTTTTCAATTCACTGTCTATATATTAGGCTGCTAAATACCTTCCTTTATTTTTCTTTGCAGATATTGTATAAATCCAAAGGGGAAGAAATTATTCACAAGTATCACCTCCCTCCTGATGTGCCCCAGTTCATCCAGGCTAGAGTTAATGCCTACAACATCAGTGATGTGAGTATATTTTGAATTTCAACACCATGAAGGTCTCCACTGATGGTATCAATTTTATTGCCTTTGTGATGTTAAATTTTTTGGTGGCATTATCAGCCTTCCAGGAATCAGATAAAAACTGACATCTCCCTTAATAACCTTGGAATTTTAATAGTCTGGCCAGACTGATAAAAAAAAAAATCAGCCAGGCTACTTTCTCCAGTCCCTTTAGAGCACAAAGCCTGAGTTTGAAGCTAACAGGAAAAAATTTCTGAAGGTTCAGTCAAATGAAATAGGGTTTTGCATAAGAGAGGGAAAAAATGCCACTGATAGAGTTGTTCTAAATAAAAAGTGCAAAAATGCTGGTGGAATTCGTGTTTATCTTTGTAGTAGATTTATTTATTTGTAGTTTGTATACAGGTTAATGTTTTTTCCTTGAGATTACGTGGACTAAACCGGATATTTTAATTCCTGTAATAAAATCTCCTACAAGAAAAACATGGGTTTAAGCTCTCTATTAGAATTGCTATTTCTGACTTTGCAAACTCTTCCCTTTTTTCCCTCCAAGGCGAACTACAAAGCAGACTGGAAGAAAACCCTTGCCAAAGGCTATGATCTGAAACCAGATGCCATTCCAATTATTGCTGCTAAAGCTTCTCGGAATATTGCAAGTGATGTAAGTAGGATTTACATCCAGTGGAACACATGCCCCTCCTGATGAAAAAAACATCTTTATTTATTATTATTATTATTATTTACCTGTGCTGGAGCCCTGTGATCCTGCTTTAGCAAAATATTACAAGTCACTCTTCATTTCTCTCTTAAACATCCCCAGTTGAATATTGGGATATTGAATTGTTTGGTGAGGCTGTTCAGTAATTTATTATTATTATAGTCTTAATTAAAAGCTGAATGTCCCTGGGATTTGGAAGCCTGCATCAATGACAACGGTGAGGGAGGGCTTGTAGCTTCAGGTGTGGGTTGAGATATGTACCAGGTGTCAAGACTAGCTCAAAAATCCAAAAATGCTCTTCCTTTGTTGGCCTAAACAATCCTGTGCTGTCGTAAAAACCATTAATGAGGTTACAGAATGAACTGCAGCATTAATACTGTGAAACTCAGTGTTTTACACCCATCCAAAATGTATTTTCTCTTTCCCAAGTGGGTAAAGCTGTTTTTCCTTTGTCTCTAGTACAAGTACAAGGAATCCTACGAGAAAGACAAAGGCAAACAGGTCGGGTACCAGAGCCTGCAGGATGATCCCAAACTTGTTCACTACATGAACGTGGCCAAAATCCAATCAGATCGGGAATACAAGAAGGATTATGAAGTCACCAAGACCAAATACCACACTCCTCTGGATATGTTCAGCGTGACAGCTGCCAAGAAAGCCCAGGAAGTGGTGACAAACACTGGCTATAAGCAGCCAATTCACAATTACACCCTCCTGCCTGATTCTGTGAACCTGGAGCTGTCCAGAAATGTGATGCAGCTTCAGAGTGATGTATGTCATCAATAATCATCTCCATCTTTAATTACCATCATGACTGTGTGACATTATTCATCTTTCAAGGCTAAAAAATTAATTTATATAATCAAATATATATTATATTGGATTAACAGTAGGTTGGGATGTAAGTGGTTGGCTTGGAACCGTTTATTTTCCAAACATTATCAGAATTATGTGTTGCTATTAAGTTCTAAGAAACTTACCTAGCAAGTAACAACTTATTTTATATCTCTCCATATTTGGCATAATCCCAGCAAATGAGCATGTTTTACTAATTGATGTATTTTTGTAGTCAGATTTTAATTACTGTGATTTTATTTTTCCTAAATACTAGCCTATCATACTTAAATTTTAATTAAATCTAAATTGCCCCTCAAAAATGAACGACCAGGGAAAGTTTTAAGGCTTTATCTGTTTTATGTATATAGACACTAATTTTTCTTGCCTCACTGTGTTTTTCTTGTTTATTTTTGAAAAGAACCTGTACAAATCTGACTTCAACAACTGGCTGAGAGGAGTTGGCTGGGTCCCAATTCAGTCACTGGATGTAGAAAAGGCCAAGAAAGCCACAGAGATTCTCAGTGAAAAGAAATACCGCCAGCATCCCGACCAGCTCAAGTTCTCCATCCCCATGGATGCCATGGAACAAGTGCTGGCAAAGCAAAATGCCAAGACCATGAACAAGGTGGGAAGTTGTTGGATTGACCCAACGTTTGGGTCTTTGTCTTGCAAAGTTGTGGGGCGAGGTGCATTCCCAGTGGAATTGTTAAAATTTCCAATGGGTGTGGTAGCTCCTTGGTTAAGACTGGACACTGAGGGATCATGGTAAGCCTCTGACTGCTCATTATGAAGGGAGTTTCATTTTCTGTTTCTAAAGATTAAAGATTTCTTCTCCAGATTGATAGTGCTTTGATAATCCCTTTTCTGTATTCATAATAAGTGAACTGCAGGAAACCTGGAATTCTTCCAGTTTTGTACAAGTTTCCTGGAAAGTGGAGTTCTCAACACTTACCTCTAGTTTTCCAGGACACCACTGATCCTTATTCCTTGTTTTCCATGGAAAAAATGTCTGTGAAAATAAACTCTGCTTCCCATTAATGCAGGGAAGATCACAGATTGGAAACTTCCAGCTTCAATATTGATTAATTGTCAAAACATACTTTGCAAATTTCTCACAGTACTAAAGAAAGGAGGAAGGTAATGTTGCTCTTCAGCAGCTCTGTGAAGGTTATTTCTGGTGCTAGTAATATTTCTAGGAAATATGATTTATTTTAAATGAGCAGAACAATAGCAAACTCTAATTTTACCAGTACCTTTCCAAAGCTAAAAATTCCTTTGTAATTGCAGAGGCTGTACACAGATAAATGGAACAAAGAGAAGACCAGCATTCATGTGATGCCAGACACCCCAGAAATTCTTCAGTGCAAAGTGAACCAGATGACAATGAGTGATGTGAGTTGCTTTAATTAATGAATTTTTAAAAATTTATTATTTTAATACCTGCTGGGTGTTCAGTGCCTCGCTGTCATTTTAATGCCTTGTTTAAAAATGTTTAAATTCAGAGTTCTGCCTTCATGACATCTGTTCTCTTTCACATCTGAACTTAGAAACTTTACAAATCTGGATGGGAGGAGGACAAGAAGAAGGGTTATGACTTGCAGCCAGATGCAATTCCAATAAAAGCAGCCAAAAGCTCCAGAGACATCGCGAGCGACGTAAGTCTGGTTGTGCCATACCATTCCAGGACTTTATTTAAATTAAATGACTAAACCTGAGATCTTGTGATCTGCTTTTTCAGTGATAAAACAGAGCTTAATATTGTATTTTTTAACTGAGGTTTTTGCTGTTTTTTCTCTTTCCTGCTCTCAGTATAAATACAAACTGGCCTACGAGAAGGCCAAGGGGAAGCACATCGGATTCCGCAGCCTGGAGGATGATCCCAAGCTGGTGCACTTCATGCAGGTGGCCAAGATGCAATCTGACAGGGAGTACAAAAAGGGTTATGAGAAGGCCAAGACTCATTTCCACACTCCAGTTGACATGGTCAGTGTGGTGGCAGCCAAGAAAGCTCAGGAAGTGGCTACAAATGCAAACTACAAGAACTTAATCCACACCTACAACGTCCTGCCTGATGCCATGAGCATCGAATTGGCCAAAAACATGATGCAGTTACAAAGTGATGTAAGTAAGAGCCTCTGTATTGTGAATACAAAGGTGCTTGGTTTATGAAAAAACACTGTAAGATAAACAGTGTTATGTTCTTAGTGAAATTAAATCAGATGTCTACAAAAATGTAGTAAATTTTACAAGTTTTTCAACAATTACAACTACTTTTTATTTTTCCTAGGCTCTGAAATATTAATTTGAGTTTAGAAATAAGCAATTTTATGAATATTTACTCCTTACATGTCCCATCAGGCTCTTCAGGAGCCACAGTTATGTGCAGACTAAGACAGGAGAAGTTTCACTTTTCCTTAACGCATTTTATCTTCTACTTCCAAATTTATAAACTATTTTTATGCTTCACACTGTTTTTTTATCTACTTTCTGCGTGCAGAATCAATACAAAGCAGAGTATGATGAAACTATGAAGGGTGTTGGGTGGATCCCACTGGGCTCCCTGGAGGCTGAGAAGAACAAAAAAGCCATGGAAATTGTGAGTGAGAAGAAATATCGCCAGCATCCAGACAAGTTGAAGTACTCTGTTCCTATGGATTCCATGAACATGGTCTTGGCTTTAAATAATGCCAAAATCATGGATGAGGTAAGAAAGTGCTCATCAGAATTCGTTTAAGCTTGCAGAAGTGGGCAGCCATCTACACCTGATTTAATAGTCAGCCCTACTGCATGCAGAGCTTTAGAAAACATGATTTTAGTTTGTAGCTAATGAATGTGCTTTGAGTGCTAAAATAAAAAGATAAATGTCCCTCCCGTGGTACTAACACATCCTTGTCAAGGCAGTTTGGATTTCAAGTGGAAAATAGTATTTTAAATAGTTTTATTTAATAATAGCAGATGTTGAGGTCTCTATTTTTATTTTTTTTTTTTTTGATCCTTCCAGCACAAGTACAAACAAGCCTGGGAAGAAGACAAAAAGAAAATTCACATCACCCCCGATATTCCACAGATTGCTTTAGCAAAAGCAAATGCATTCAATATAAGTGAAGTGAGTATTGTTTGTAAGGCTGTGACCTTGCTCTTATTTTTTTGATTAGGAATAAGTGAGATGAGAGCATGCAAAGTCCCACCTTGCTAACCTGTAGTAATTTCACAAAAGCTATTAATTTTCCTTTTCCCTGCTTCCTTCCCCAAAATTAGATACCTAGAATTGCCAAGAAAAATCCATGTTTATAGTCAGGTTGTGAAGTGTTCATGCAGACCATTAAAATATAACAGTTGCTAACAAAATACAGTAGACTTTGAGTGCTGTTAGTGTTTATTACTGTATTTATTATTTTATTCTTGATTATTTTATTTCCCCATGCACAAGGGTTTGGACAGGGTTCAAAATGTAGGTAGCACCTGGTGTTTTGGTAAAAGATGGCATTACAGACAGGTTTTGGTAGCCAATTGTTAAATCCACATATGCTAAATAAAGTATTGCTTGTAATTATGCACATCTGCAACGTGGGCAGAAATAGAAATAGACATTTTTATCTCATTTTGTTTTTTAAGATTACATCCTTAGAGATGTAACTTTCCACCAATAGTTGTGCACATGGAAAACATGTAAAATTTTTATTTTTTGAAAGATGTTTCTTTTTCCTTTTGCAGAAAATGTACAGGTCTTCATTTGAAGAAACCAGGAAGAAAGGATATGATCTCAGGGCTGATGCTATTCCTGTCAAAGCTGCCAAAGCTTCCAGGGATATTGCCAGTGATGTAAGTTCTTGGGAGAAAAAATGGGCAGGAAGAGCATCCACTTTCCCAGGGCGCTCCAACCTGGCCTTGGGCACTTCCAGGGATCCAGGGGCAGCCACAGCTTCTCTGGGCACCCTGTGCCAGCACCTCAGCACCCTCTCAGGGAAGAATTTTTTCCTTAATTCCAAATCTAAATGAATTAAAGTCTCTGTTTCTGTTCTCTTCCAGTATAAATACAAGCTGGGGTATGAACAAGACAAGGGGAAACTCGTTGGCTTCCGCAGCCTCCAGGATGATCCCAAACTTGTCCATTGCATGCAAGTGGCCAAGATGCAGTCAGACAGGGAGTACAAGAAGGCCTATGAGATGAGCAAGACTCATTACCAGACACCTTCCGATGCCCTCAGCGTGGTGGCAGCCAAGGAGGCCCAGGACCGTGTCACCAATGCCAACTACAAACGCCTGATCCACCAGTACATGCTCCTGCCAGATGCAATGAGTTTGGAGCTGTACAGAAACATGAATCAGATACAAAGTGATGTAAGTTTTCTTTTTTGTGACTGCTGTTTTTACATCGTGGCTGCAGTTTGGAAAGAGCAGGATTATTTTTTATGAGCTCTATTCTTGTGGCTTTTGTTTTTCCATCATGGCTGTGTTTTGGAAAGAACTGGATTATTCTGTGTGAGCTGTTTGTACATTGTAAACTTTGCTTTTGTGTCCTGTTTGGCAGAATGAGTACAAGCAGGATTACAAGGAGTGGTTCAGGGGGATTGGTTGGAGTCCCATTGGTTCTCTGGATGTGGAGAAGTCAAAGAAAGCCACGGAGATTGCGAGCGATCGGAAGTACCGCCAGCACCCCAGCATGTTCCCCTTCACCAAACAGAACGATGCCATGGACCTGGTCCTTGCAAAGCAGAATGCAAACATCATGAACAAAGTGAGCATTTAGGGAAAAAGCCAGGCAGGCATTCACATACCATCCATTCCAAAAATCACTCTGCACATCTCTGTCTCATCTTTATGTGGCAGCGTTCCCCTGGGAAAAACAACTGCCACATGCTCCTCTTTCTTCATTGTTTTGTTTTTTTCTTCAATGAAACAGCATTGGGTAAAGAAATCTTCTCTCACTTTTCTCCGAACTCTATTCACCCCATTCTTATACAGAAATGACTGGTCCTGGAAATCCTGATACCATTAGAAGCAAGACCAGACAGTAATTCAGCTGTTTCTGGATTAGATCATTTCATAGTAAAATAAATCTGAGCCAGCAGCTTCTCCTTTTTACTCATCCATATCCAAATGCAAAGGTGAAAACCCTGGAAGAACCATCTTTTGTCATTTATATTAACACATCTGCTGTAACTTTCTGTCCATAGCATGCTTATACCCAAGCCTGGGAGAAGGACAAGACTCAGGTCCATGTGATGCCAGACACACCAGATATTCTACAGGCCAAACAGAACAAGACAAACTACAGTCAGGTAGAGTATTTTGATACATCCTATCAACATTTTAAATTAATTTCTACTGGAGATTTAGAACACAGGGAAGGATTTCATGTGGGTAATACTTTCAGAGTAACAGGCTAGCAAATTAACAGACTAAATTGCATTATAATGTATGGAAAATATAAGTCCTGCTTTTGAAGTGCATAGTCTGTACTCTATGCTTAGTATAAAATCCATGTTAAAAATTCCTCACTATAAAATTACAAGTTAATTGTGTATATTTTTAACCTAACCTGTGGGAAAAAGCAGATGCAGTGATTCCAGATTTTCTCTCAGCTTTCAGGTAGGAGAAAGTGACAATGGTGCCAGTAGAAAATACTTGAGTTTTGCTTTGAATCATTGCTCAGAGGCAAATCTTTGACTTGAGAATGCCTGTACTTAAAATCAACTGTGCACAAACTGACTTGACTGTTAAATGGCTTCAGGAAAACTTCATTAAAATTTTGTTAAGCCAATCAAAAAGTGTTCAGTTATCTCAGATGCATGTATTTCAAATTCTCCAGATATGTTTCAAATCAAGATAAGCTACAGTAGGAAGCTGCTAAATAGTGAAAAACTATTTAGTTCCTCTCCTAAGCCTTGGAAGACCAGCATTCCTTGTTTATCAGTTTCCCATTTCTCAGTTCCCATTCTAGCAGCCCTTCTCTCATAACTGATGCCTGTGAGGTGACCAGAATTTGGATCATTAGTGTATCTAAATAGCAGGTGACATACATATGACTGGTTTTAATTAATATTGTTTTCAATTTCAGAAACTCTACAAGCTTGGCTGGGAGGAAATGATAAAGAAAGGCTATGACCTCACACCTGAAGCCATGTCAGTGAAAGCTGCCAAAGCTTCAAGGGACATTGCAAGTGATGTAAGCAGCATTTTTAACTCGATGTGACATGCATTGATCTGATTGTTATAACCTACAGAGTCACAGGAAATTGAAATACACCTTTCTGCTAAGGTGCTGCTTGGAGTAAAAAACAGCTTTGCTGACAAAACTCCTTCCTGAGCTGTTTTTGTCCAATTTAACAAGGGTTTCTCTGGCATCTTAACAAGCCCAAAGTTTGGTCCATTCATGACACGGCTGGTCATAAAAGGGAGGAGTTTTCTGCTCTTTTGGCTGCTTCATTTTCAGAGCAGCAGTAAATTTGGTCCAATTAGCTGAGCCCAGTGCCTATCCAGAGAAATCCTCGTTACAACTCTGAACAGATGTGGTGACACACAGGCTGCTGTTACCATAACTTGGTACAAATACAACTCCTGCATTTGTGGAAGAGATTTTATTAATCATTAGGGAATGTCTCCTGTGCTTAAGTATCTTTGTATTTCACAATTTTTCATTGTTGATGATGTTATTCATTATAATATTTCAGTGTGTCGTTATTAGGGAGTTCTGAACAGAGTGAGTGTGTGAATCAGATGGCACAGGAGACCATTCCTGTTTCCTTGCTCTTTTCCTTCCCAGGGACTCTTTCTTTTCCAGAGGAGAACATTCACTGACACCAAGTCATGCACATTAGTCAAGGGGCTGCTATAACTTTACATGAGATGCCATAACAAGTTGTTCATTTATAGAATCATAGAACCACAAAATGGTTTGAGTTGGAAGAGACATTAAGGATTATTCAGTTCCAGCCTTTCTGTGGGCAGAGTGCCTACTATCCCAGGTTGCTCCAAACCCCATTCAGCCTGGCCTTGGGCTCTTCCAAGGGTAATTTCATGAGGAATGTTAAAATGAGGGAATATATTGGTATTTTGCTTGTGTCTTTTACATGTTTGTTCCTGTGATTTGAGTGGTGCCACCTTTGCCATTGCAGTTCAAGTACAAAGAAGGATACCGCAAGCAGCAGGGACATCACATCGGATTCCGCAGCTTGCAGGATGACCCCAAGATGTTGTGGTCCATGCAAGTAGCTAAAATGCAGAGTGAGAGGGAGTACAAGAAAGACTTTGAGAAGTGGAAGACCAAGTTCAATATGCCTGTGGATATGCTGGGCTTCCTTCTAGCTAAGAAGTGTCAGGAGCTGGTCAGTGATGTGGACTACAAACACATACTGCACCGCTGGACTTGTCTGCCAGACCAGGTCGATGTCACGGAGGCAAGGAGGGTCAACGAGCTGCAGAGTGATGTAAGTTCCCTCTGCGTTTAATTCACTTATTTCCATGTAAAAGAATTACTGCTCATTGGAAAGTACCTTTGATGACTCGCTTTTGATATCAGTATAAATCAGATTGGAGCTAAACTGCCAGTTAGACTTTTGATAGGGTTTAATCAATGAACAGTGAAATAATCTTCTATGGTTTTGATTTTTATCCTGAACAGAATGTGTATAAGTCAGATCTACAGTGGCTCAGAGGCATTGGATGGAGTCCTTTGGGATCTCTGGAAGCTGAAAAGAACAAGAAAGCTTCTGAAATACTGAGTGAGAAGAAGTACAGGCAGCACCCAGACACTATTAAGTTCACAAGCATCCCAGATGCCATGGATGTCGTTTTGGCAAAATCTAATGCCAAAAACAGGAGCGATGTAAGTTGCCTCTAGAGACAGAACGTGGGATTCAATAAGTGAATACATTAATGTACATTTTGAAAATGATCACTGGTTCAGAACATGCACTTAAAATATACAGATAGCAGGTGTTTTTAGTCAGGGACTCACTGCTCTTTGTGCCTTGTTCAGAATATTAAGTTCTTGAGCACTGATAATTTGCTCAGTCTTACTGCAAATAAGACCTTTAGTAAGCAATATGTAAATATATTGTTTTAATGGTCTTTCCTTGGCATTACATGGATGTAAAGAAGAAAAAAAAAAGGTTGTGTTTCAGTAAGAAGTCATTGTATTATTTGATTTTCCTAACTTGTCTTGTTTACATCCCAAATTCTTGCTTAGTTCATCTTTGCTCTGCTAATGCAGGGAAAAGGTGAATGGAAACTACTGCTGTGCAGGTGAATCTTGGATCAGACCAGGTTTTTGTTTGTGCCTCTTTCAGATACTCTACAGGGAAGCTTGGAACAAGGACAAGACTAAGGTTCACATCATGCCTGATACACCTGAAATTTTGCTGGCTAAATCAAACTTGATTAACACAAGTGATGTAAGTCTGCATTTGAAACTGGGAATAGAGAATCATAGGGTTGTATTACTCACTTCTGCAGAGAGATCTGGGAATAATATATTTGCTGAAAGAAAATTTTGATATTCAATGAAATAATCAGAAAATATTAAAAGTGTAATTTTAAAATATTTTATATGCAAGGTGACAAAATACATGTCCTTGATAGCAGGGTGTGGAGTTTAATTTAATTAATTAAACTGTGTTTGGAAACCCGTGCTTTCTTTTCAATAACCACAGGTGGAAAGTTGTAGAAGTGAAAAACTCCCAAGAGAGTTTAATCTGCATTAATTCCTTTGAATCCTTCTCCAACAGAAACGTTACAAGGTGGGATATGAAGAACTGAGGAAGAAAGGCTACGACCTCCCTGCTGATGCCATCCCCCTCCAGGCAGCCAAGGCATCCCGAGACATAGCCAGTGAGGTGGGTCTTGCAGAGGGAAAATCATGCTTATACCCAATTTTATGCTTATACATGAAATTTATGTAAAATTTTAGCACTGTTGTATTGCTGCCCTCCTCAAAGGTTGTGTAATTCTTAATAGTATAAAGTTAATTAAATTAAATACAATAGTTTAAAGATGATAGGTTATAGGTATGAGAAATCCCATAATATCTCCTGGACATTATAACAAATGCTAACAATTCTGGGAAAAAACACAAGCAAATTAAAATATGTTAGATTCAAAATTCTTAACTACTGTATTAACAACAGAGAAACTGAAATGGCAGCTCAGAGAGAAGTAGTAATTGTTTCTTTTGTGTTCAATTAGTACAAATACAAAACTGCATACAGAAAACAGCTGGGCCACCACATTGGGGCCAGGAACATTGAGGACGACCCCAAGATGATGTGGTCGATGCATGTGGCCAAGATCCAGAGTGACAGGGAGTACAAGAAGGACTTTGAGAAGTCCAAGACGAGGTTCAGTAGCCCTGTGGACATGCTGGGAGTGGTGTTGGCCAAGAAGTGCCAGGAGCTGGTCAGTGATGCCGATTACCGGCACCCTCTGCACCGCTGGACCTGCCTGCCGGACCAGAACGATGTTGTCCATGCCAAGACAGTGTATGACCTGCAGAGTGATGTGAGTTGTCCTTTACTGACAGCCTTGGGTTGTCTGTCCTGTGGTCTCTTTTAGTTTTGAAGGAGGGATCTGTGTCACTGGGAAAGGGCAATGGAGCCAAGTTGTTTGTTTTTTTTTATGGAGAAACAGCAGATGGGAAAGACAAACCCTGAGGGCAATGGAGAATGGTATGAAGAGCCTTAGGGGATGGGCAAAACCACTGAGTGGGTGGCTGGTGGGTTAACCCAGTGCAATATGTTTGGTTCAGGAGAACTTCCATTCATAGGAATTGGAGTTGCTTGGAGTGAGGAGGTTGCTGAGTTGATTGTGTCCTTTCCTGTCCTTCCAGAACGTGTACAAGTCTGACCTGCAGTGGCTGAGGGGCATTGGCTGGTCCCCAATTGGATCATTGGACGTTGAGAAGAACAAGAGGGCGAGCGAGATCCTGAGTGACAAGAAGTATCGTCAGCACCCAGACACCATCAAATTCACGAGCCTTCCTGACTCAATGCCCATGGTGCTGGCAAAGCACAACTCCAAAATCATGGACCAAGTGAGATTTCCTTGTGTTTACATCCTGAAGGAAACAGATGCCTTCCTTTGTGAAGATGTTGTTCTTTCCATGGCCTGAGTTGTGCAATGGGAATGTTGGCTTCTCTTGCCTCAGGGATTTGAGTTCCTTGTACGAGATCAAACACTCTTGTGTGGTTGGAGCAGCAATGGGGTGCAATGTGGGAAAGGGTGAAGCATTGGAAAGTTTTGGGGAAAGGGCAGGAGTTTCTGGGTTAGTGCAAAGTCCAGGCCACCTTGCTTTGGTTTATGGATGTGATCTTCTCATTGAGATTGTTTCCCTAAACCTGTGTGATGTTGTTTCCTGTTGTCCTCGTTTTTCAGCGCTCGTACATCTCAGCGTGGGAAAAGGACAAAACCAGCATTCACATCATGCCGGACACCCCTGGGATCCTGCTGGCCCAGCAGAACAAAGTGAACTTCAGTGAGGTGGGTGGTTGTTGTGGGTGCAGGCTCCATCCCTGGGCGCTGTACGTCCCGGGCAGCAGCGTTGTCTGAGGGCATGGTGGTGTCTGTTTCAGAAACTGTACAAGCAGGCGATGGAGGAGGAGAAGAAGAAGGGCTACGACATGCGGGCAGATGCCATTCCCATCAAGTCTGCCAAAGCTTCCCGGGACATCGCCAGTGATGTGAGTGCACAGGAACCCATGTGGCACATGATTTCACATGAGTGCCACATGCTGGCAATTGAACCTGGGATTTGCAAATCCATTACATATCACTGCCATTCAGTTGCCCATCAAAGGTTTTATTCTACACTGTCCACCTGTAGCTGTCCTTGCAAGTGTGCACTGCTGCAAGGGAAGGCCTAGGAGAAGTGGAGGGGTATCCATGGGAGCTGGATGATGGCCACAGCCCAAAGCAGGGTCCCTCCTGGATTTGTGACTCTATCTCCTTGTGCAACAGCCTAGAGTTCTGAAGTGTTGGGCTGCCCTCAACACTGCCCATCTTCGTGTCCCTGCCTCTGCAGCTGCATGGCTGAGCTGTGCATGAGGAAAGAAAACCTAAACCAGTTTTTCATATAAAAATTAAAGCTGTATGAAAAGCACCATTGTTTGTTACTCTTAGGTATTAATACAAAATTGGATTCCTTTATGTTACGTTTGCTGTCTTGCTTCTCTGTGTAGTTACATTTTATTGCCTCAGTAGTTTGAGTAAGTGTTGATGTGGCCATTGTGCTTGAAGATCAGTAAATGATTCTTTAGGTTCATTTATTGAACTTAAGGTCTTTGGTATAGCTTTCATGATTTAGAGACTTTTCTTCCTCTCAGTTACTGACCAGTAGGTCTTAATACATAAGCCAGGGAGAGTCTAAGAAAATGTGTTTTATCAGAAGGATAATGTGTGGATTCTTTTCTAGCTGTACTATGGGTCACCAGCTAAACATTTCACACTGTAAACTCTCTGTGGTTTCACCTGATAAATTGGCTGGAGGTGGTGCCACAGGGGTTGCTAGGAATGTAAAGGAAACTAAAATAATACTCAGTGCATACTATTTTTTCCTACAGTACAAGTACAAGGAAGGGTATCGCAAACAGCTGGGCCACCACATCGGGGCCAGGAACATTGAGGACGACCCCAAGATGATGTGGTCGATGCATGTGGCCAAGATCCAGAGTGACAGGGAGTACAAGAAAGCCTTTGAGAAGTCCAAGACCCACTTCAGCAGCCCTGTGGACATGCTGGGAGTGGTGTTGGCCAAGAAGTGCCAGGAGCTGGTCAGTGATGCTGATTACCGTCACCCTCTGCACCGCTGGACCTGCCTGCCGGACCAGAACGATGTTGTCCATGCCAAGACAGTGTATGACCTGCAGAGTGATGTGAGTTGATCTTTATTGGCTGTGTGGCGCTCTTGTGTTGTCTGTCCTGAATTCCTTCTACTGTTGGAGGAGGGAATTGTGTGTCAAGGGAAGGGAAACGGATTGAAATTGTCTTGTAGAGAACCAAGGGTTGGTAAGTCTTGGGTGCAGATGAAAATGGTATGAAGAGCCCTAGGATATGGGTACAAACCCTGAATGGGTGCTGGTGGGTTGACCCAGGGGAATGTGTTCCATTAAGTGGAGTTGAGGTTACTTGGAGTGAGGAGGTTGCTGAGTTGGTTGTGTCCTTTCCTGTCCTTCCAGAACGTGTACAAGTCTGACCTGCAGTGGCTGAGGGGCATTGGCTGGTCCCCAATTGGCTCATTGGATGCTGAGAAGAACAAGAGGGCGAGCGAGATCCTGAGTGACAAGAAGTATCGTCAGCACCCAGACACCATCAAATTCACGAGCCTTCCTGACTCAATGCCCATGGTGCTGGCAAAGCACAACTCCAAAATCATGGACCAAGTGAGATTTCCTTGTGTTTACATCCTGAAGGAAACAGATGCCTTCCTTTGTGAAGATGTTGTTCTTTCCATGGCCTGAGTTGTGCAATGGGAATGTTGGCTTCTCTTGCCTCAGGGATTTGAGTTCCTTGTACGAGATCAAACACTCTTGTGTGGTTGGAGCAGCAATGGGGTGCAATGTGGGAAAGGGTGAAGCATTGGAAAGTTTTGGGGAAAGGGCAGGAGTTTCTGGGTTAGTGCAAAGTCCAGGTCACCTTGCTTTGGTTTATGGATGTGATCTTCTCATTGAGGTTGTTTCCCTAAACCTGTGTGATGTTGTTTCCTGTTGTCCTCGTTTTTCAGCGCTCGTACATCTCAGCGTGGGAAAAGGACAAAACCAGCATTCACATCATGCCGGACACCCCTGGGATCCTGCTGGCCCAGCAGAACAAAGTGAACTTCAGTGAGGTGGGTGGTTGTTGTGGGTGCAGGCTCCATCCCTGGGCGCTGCACGTCCCGGGCAGCAGCGTTGTCTGAGGGCATGGTGGTGTCTGTTTCAGAAACTGTACAAGCAGGCGATGGAGGAGGAGAAGAAGAAGGGCTACGACATGCGGGCAGATGCCATTCCCATCAAGTCTGCCAAAGCTTCCCGGGACATCGCCAGTGATGTGAGTGCACAGGAACCCATGTGGCACACACTGGGGCGGAATCCTTTCTTTCTTTAAAATCTCTGTGGCTTCAGCTGCTGTATTTTCAGGAGGTGGTGCCACAGGGGCTGCTGGGGCCATATAAAAATCCCAACCTAAGAGTGAACATGTTTTTGTCCATAGTACAAGTACAAGGAAGGGTATCGCAAACAGCTGGGCCACCACATCGGGGCCAGGAACATTGAGGATGACCCCAAGATGATGTGGTCGATGCACGTGGCCAAGATCCAGAGTGACAGGGAGTACAAGAAAGCCTTTGAGAAGTCCAAGACCCACTTCAGCAGCCCTGTGGACATGCTGGGAGTGGTGTTGGCCAAGAAGTGCCAGGAGCTGGTCAGTGATGCCGATTACCGTCATCCTCTGCACCGCTGGACCTGTCTGCCCGACCAGAATGACGTTGTCCATGCCAAGACAGTGTATGACCTGCAGAGTGATGTGAGTTGTTCTTTATTGGCTGTGTTGCAAACACAAGTCTCTCATGTGTTCCTCTGCTGGAAGACGTCCATGTGGGGATAATAATTTTTGGCTAATTTTGAGGAACTAAGGTTGTGTTGTGGCACTTCTTTTCATGGGCAGTCAGCGATGATGTTTGTATGGGCTCATCCTTCATGGTCACAGAAGAATCCTTTCTTGCCCTGAATATTTTATGGGGAGAGTTTTGGGACCTTCATTACAGTAAGGCAGGGGAAAGGCAACAGAATCACATTTTTGCCTTTGGAGGGCCAGCAGTGGCAATGGCAATGTTTGTGGGCAGTGGTGCATGGTACAAAGGGTCTTGGGAGGCGTAAGGCACCTCCCATGCCTCTGTCAGCTGCAGAATGCCCCATAGGGCAGGGCTTTGCTGGGGATACCAAGAACATGGAGAGGGAGGGCGGTGGGTGGATTCCTTGGCAGGTACTTATGGTGTTGCAGGAGTAGGGAGCTCGGTGTGAGAAGTTGATCTTAGCGAGAGTCCAATTCCTGGTGGCTGGTGGGTTGACCAAGGGAAATGTATTCCATTAAACGAAGTTTTCCATGGTAGGAGTTGGGGTTGCTTGGAGTGAGGAGGTTGCTGAGCTGTTTGTGTCCTTTTGTGTCCTTCCAGAACGTGTACAAGTCTGACCTGCAGTGGCTGAGGGGCATTGGCTGGTCCCCAATTGGATCATTGGATGCTGAGAAGAACAAGAGGGCGAGCGAGATCCTGAGTGACAAGAAGTATCGTCAGCACCCAGACACCATCAAATTCACGAGCCTTCCTGACTCGATGCCTATGGTGCTGGCAAAGCACAACTCTGAAATCATGGACCAAGTGAGATTTCCTTATGTTTGCATCTTGAAGGGAATGAGCACCTTCCTTCCCTGGATGTTGGTCTATGTGCTTCCATGGCCCAGGTTGTGCAAGGGGAGGAAATCCCCCTTGCCTTAGGGATTTGTGCTCCTTGTTTGAGATAAACTCTTGTTTTGTGTGGTTGGAGCAATAATGGGGTGCAGTGTGGAAAAGAAAAGGTTCAAGCACCGGAAACACCGGGGAAAGGAAATGTGTTCTTGAGTCAGTGCAAAGTACAGGCCCCTGGCTTTGCTTTGTGGAGCTGATTTGCTCCTTGAGTTTTTTCCCTGAGCCTGTATGAGCTTACCTCTCTGTCCTCCTCGTTTTTCAGCGTTCGTACATCTCAGCGTGGGAAAAGGACAAAACCAGCATTCACATCATGCCGGACACCCCTGGGATCCTGCTGGCCCAGCAGAACAAAGTGAACTTCAGTGAGGTGGGTGGTTGTTGTGGGTGCAGGCTCCATCCCTGGGCACTGCACGTCCCGGGCAGCAGCGTTGTCTGAGGGCATGGTGGTGTCTGTTTCAGAAACTGTACAAGCAGGCGATGGAGGAGGAGAAGAAGAAGGGCTACGACATGCGGGCAGATGCCATTCCCATTATGTCTGCCAAAGCTTCCCGGGACATCGCCAGTGATGTGAGTGCACAGGAACCCTCGTGGCACATGATGGGGCTGAGTCTTTTCTGAGTCTAAAATCTCTGTGGCTTCAGCTGCTGTATTTTCAGGAGGTGGTGCCACAGGGGCTGCTGGGGCCATATAAAAATCCCAACCTAATGGTGAACTTGATTTTGTCCATAGTACAAGTACAAGGAAGGGTATCGCAAACAGCTGGGCCACCACATCGGGGCCAGGAACATTGAGGACGACCCCAAGATGATGTGGTCGATGCACGTGGCCAAGATCCAGAGTGACAGGGAGTACAAGAAAGCCTTTGAGAAGTCCAAGACCCACTTCAGCAGCCCTGTGGACATGCTGGGAGTGGTGTTGGCCAAGAAGTGCCAGGAGCTGGTCAGTGATGCCGATTACCGTCACCCTCTGCACCGCTGGACCTGTCTGCCCGACCAGAATGACGTTGTCCATGCCAAGACAGTGTACGACCTGCAGAGTGATGTGAGTTGTTCTTTATTGGCTGTGTGACAGCCTTGGCTTATCTATTTTACTGTTGGAGGAGGTCTGTGAGCCAAGGGTAGGTCAGGGGAATTCAAATCTTTCTTTTCCTGGAGAACCAAGGGTTGGCAAAGCCAATAAATTTTGTTGCTGAGATAGGTATGAAGAACCTTAGGAGATGGAAAAGGCCCTTCCAATGTCTCTGCCAGTTGCAGATTGCAAAATCTGCTACGTCTTTGCTGGCAAAAGCAAGGTGATAGAGGGGGAAGACTTGTGGATTTCTTGACAGCCTCTTGTGGTGTTGCAGGAGTGGGGAGACAAGTTTTTTGGAGCTGAGCTTATCTGGAGACACTTTTGTGGCATAGGCTGGTGGGTTGTCCCAGGGGAACATGCTCCATTAAGTGGAGTTTCATGTGGTAGGAGATGGAGTTGCTTGGAGTGTGGAGGTTGCTGATCTCTTTTCCTGTCCTTCCAGAACGTGTACAAGTCTGACCTGCAGTGGCTGAGGGGCATTGGCTGGTCCCCAATTGGATCATTGGATGCTGAGAAGAACAAGAGGGCGAGCGAGATCCTGAGTGACAAGAAGTATCGTCAGCACCCGGACACCATCAAATTCACGAGCCTTCCTGACTCGATGCCTATGGTGCTGGCAAAGCACAACTCTGAAATCATGAACCAAGTGAGATTTCCTTGTGTTTACATCCTGAAGGAAACAGACACCTTCCTTCCCTGGATGTTGGTCTATGTCCTTCCATGGCTCAGGTTGTGCAATGGGAATGTTGGCTTCTCTTGCCTCAGGGATTTGAGTTCCTTATTTGAGATGAAATTTTTGTTTATGTGGTTGGAGCAGCAATGGGGTGCAATGTGGAAAAGAAAAGGGTGAAGCATCAGAATGGTTTGGGGAAAGGGCAGGAGTTTCTGAGTCAGTACAAAGTAGAGCCCCCTTGCTTTGGTTCATGGAGCCAATCTTGCTGTTGAGTTTTTTTCCTCAGCCTGTGTGATCTTATCTCCCTCTGTCCTCCTCGTTTTTCAGCGCTCGTACATCTCAGCGTGGGAAAAGGACAAAACCAGCATTCACATCATGCCGGACACCCCTGGGATCCTGCTGGCCCAGCAGAACAAAGTGAACTTCAGTGAGGTGGGTGGTTGTTGTGGGTGCAGGCTCCATCCCTGGGCGCTGCACGTCCCGGGCAGCAGCATTGTCTGAGGGCATGGTGGTGTCTGTTTCAGAAACTGTACAAGCAGGCGATGGAGGAGGAGAAGAAGAAGGGCTACGACATGCGGGCAGATGCCATTCCCATCAAGTCTGCCAAAGCTTCCCGGGACATCGCCAGTGATGTGAGTGCACAGGAACCCATGTGGCACACACTGGGGCGGAATCCTTTCTTTCTTTAAAATCTCTGTGGCTTCAGCTGCTGTATTTTCAGGAGGTGGTGCCACAGGGGCTGCTGGGGCCATATAAAAATCCCAACCTAAGAGTGAACATGTTTTTGTCCATAGTACAAGTACAAGGAAGGGTATCGCAAACAGCTGGGCCACCACATCGGGGCCAGGAACATTGAGGACGACCCCAAGATGATGTGGTCGATGCACGTGGCCAAGATCCAGAGTGACAGGGAGTACAAGAAAGCCTTTGAGAAGTCCAAGACCCACTTCAGCAGCCCTGTGGACATGCTGGGAGTGGTGTTGGCCAAGAAGTGCCAGGAGCTGGTCAGTGATACTGATTACCGGCACTACCTGCATGAATGGACTTGTTTGCCCGACCAGAATGATGTGATCCACGCCAAGCAAGCCTACGACCTCCAGAGTGATGTGAGTACTTGCTGATAAGCCCTACACTGCTGAAATGTGTGGAATTTCATTGGAATATAAACTAATTGAATTGCTCTCATATAGTATTTTGTCACATTGTGGTTTTTTTCCCCTATTCCAAGCAAGGTTATTATATTTTGAGGAGTGAAAGAATCTGAATGTAAGAGCTTTTTGAAGGTTTATATACAGCCAAACAGCAGAATTAGCTCCATATAATCTGTCATAATAGTCAGTTTTAATATATTGAAATGCTGATTAACATATAAAGGGAAATTTTTAACTGCTGCCTTTATATTTTGTAACAGAACTGCTACAAGTCTGACCTGGAATGGCTGCGGGGCATTGGCTGGGTCCCAATTGGTTCCTTGGAAGTTGAGAAGGCCAAGAGAGCAGGGGAGATCCTGAGTGACAAAATTTACCGCCAGCATCCTGACACCATCAAGTTCACCAGCATCCCAGATTCTCTCCCAATGGTGTTGGCCAAGCAGAACGCAGACACCATGAACAAGGTGAGTCTGGATTGGATCAGGTAACACATCAACAGTCTCTGCCTAAACCCCTGAGACAGGACTAGGACACAGACTTGTGCCTGTGCTGTGAGATTTCAGCACAGTAATGCTGTAAAAATATAATTTCCATTCTTGGTAATCAATGGCAAACTTATTTTCATCCAGAGGTGATTTAATAATATCTTCCTAGATAATAACTGGGTTAATTTGTCACTGTTATCAATTGTGAATGTCTCCAAATACTCTGCTGTGTTTCTCCTGCAGCGTTTGTATACAGAGGCCTGGGATAAAGACAAGACACAAATCCACATCATGCCTGACACGCCTGAAATCACACTGGCAAGAGAGAACAAGAAAAACTACAGTCTGGTGAGTGTGGGATCTCTCCAAATGTAACTGCTCTGTGTCATGGCTGGATCAGGAATGGTCTGGGAGACCTTTTTGAGGTGAAACTGTCAGTTTCCTTAAGTAACTCTCATATTTATCCAAAATATTGTGACTTTAAAATCATGTTTGTATATTTGTAGTAGGGCATACTTTGAACAGTGAGCACTGGTGAGAAGAAATTCCATACATTCCACACAAGTTGTGTGTTTACACTGAATTCTGGGGAGTCATTTCTGCCGTGTACATAATGTTGGGAAGGCAAAAATTAATATCAGAAAGGTAATTACTAGCATAATTCTGAGAAGGTGCCAGTGTTCAACATCATTTTAGGCAAACAAGTTCACATCAGTAAGTTTTTTCAATCACATCAGTGGTTTTAAAAAGTAAGTTTTACTCCATTTGTATAGAAGAAAAGTTTAGCTCTAAATTGTAGTCAATGTTACATTATTTAAAGCGGTAAAATAAAAACATATTAACAGATGTATTTAGAAAAAGTCTTCCTTTGACATGAATTTGTATCAGCTACTGATCTGAGGTTTTGAGTTAAAGGTAGGTAAAACTGGGTATAATAAACCTGAACACAATTATTAGATCTACTTCCAAGAAATTTGTTTTGCATAGAATATAATATATGGAACTTATATGAGTCCCATTGCTTAATTCTTCATCTAGAAACAATACAGACAAGCCATGGAAGATGCAAAGAAGAAAGGCTATGATTTGAGAGCTGATGCCATCCCCATCCAAGCAGCCAAAGCATCCAGGCAAATTGCCAGTGATGTAAGAATCTACTTTTTTGTTTCTTTCTGTGTTGACATCTCTCCTCTGCAACCTGGAAATTATCAGTTGGATTCTGTAAAAGATACTGCAGTTAAACTTTGACCATAAAGTAATAGATTTTTGCAAGTAAATTATCATATGTGTTTAAAAAAATAAATGTTGATAATTATAAGAACAATATAATGCTGCTATCATGATAATTGTACAGCTCATAACCGTATATGTGTAAATATTTACAGTATATATATAATTACATGTAGAAAGGATTAAATACATTTAATTAGACCAGGATTATTTTTCACTAATATTAGTAATACACATTTCTTCAAAAAGCAAAATGATAAAAAAATTCTGTTTAGTGTTCTAACTCAAAAAGCAAAAAACTTAAGTCTTAGAATCCTAGGATATTATTAGCATGAGAATTAATTTGACTGGGGTTTTTTTAATGGTAGGTAATAGATAAGTTTGGAAAGGTTATTGCTAGAAATATTTAATATGATGATTAATAATTAATATATAATTGATATATTAATATTTAATATAACTGATGTTTACAGGGGATACAGAAGTGTAATATCTTGGTTTGTGTTTCAGTACAAGTACAAGGAGGGGTATCGGCAGCAGCTGGGCCACCACATCGGGGCCAGGAACATCGAGGACGACCCCAAGATGATGTGGTCGATGCACGTGGCCAAGATCCAGAGTGACAGGGAGTACAAGAAGGACTTTGAGAAGTCCAAGACCAGGTTCAGCAGCCCCGTGGACATGCTGGGAATTGGGCTGGCCAAGAAGTGCCAGGAGCTGGTGAGTGACACAGACTACCGGCACTACCTGCACCAGTGGATCTGTCTGCCCGACCAGAACGACGTGATCCACGCCAAGCAAGCCTACGACCTCCAGAGTGATGTGAGTTGTCTGGCATTGGATTTTTGCTGAGGAATGAGTTTATTTTGCATGGTTGGATGAGGCCATCTTGTTCTGATGTGGTCGAACCATCTTATTCAGATGTATTTTTAAATTTGGTGACTGATTGAAACTGAGGTCTCCAAGAGGATGTGTCAACTAATTGACACTTCAATGAAATCCTTTAACTCCAGAATTGCTATCTATCATTTACCATTCTGTGAAAGCTGGATAATGGTTTCACTCTTTATGTAGCAGAAATGCAGTTGTTTTTTCTATATTTTCTCCTGTGCTTTGAATTTATTTAAATGAAGTGTTAAGTTGATAGCGAGGTTACTCATTGGTGAACTATTCACCATCTAAGTTGCATTATTGTTATTATTGATAGAATAACCCATCTGGGTGATTTTTAATATATTTTATAACAGAACTGCTACAAGTCTGACCTGGAATGGCTGCGGGGCATTGGCTGGGTCCCAATTGGTTCCTTGGAAGTTGAGAAGGCCAAGAGAGCTGGGGAGATCCTGAGTGACAAAATTTACCGCCAGCGTCCGGACACCATCAAGTTCACCAGTGTCACGGATTCCCTGGAGATGGTGTTGGCCAAGCAGAACGCAGACACCATGAACAAGGTGAGTCCTGATCCCTCTGGGTGACACCTCAGAGGTCTCTGCCTCACCCCTGGAGGCAGGACTGGGAATGAACAAGCAATGCTCATTGGTTAATTCCTTCTCCTTAATCAATGTGGTGTTTTTTAAGTGTTGTTACATTTTCACAAGTCAATCCTCCTTCTGTCAATACTATCTCTTCCTGATTACCTAACTGATTATCCTTAATACATTCCCTATATTTTCATCTGGTATGGTCTATTTTTTTCCTGATTATTGAAATATTAACGTGGTTTTGGATTCCATATCAATCTCTTCCTGTTTTCTTGCTCAGCGTTTGTACACTGAAGCGTGGAACAAAGACAAGACCACGATTCACGTCATGCCTGACACCCCAGAAATCCTGCTGGCCAAACAAAACCGAGTGAACTACAGTGAGGTGAGTGCAACTGAAAGCTGAGACAATTAACTGGTACATCTGACAAGTATGCTTTTGTCATCTCTGACTTTTAGTTAACATTAAAATATTGTCAGGTTGTTAATTTCCACGAATGGCCTGTTCCCATGCTGACATGAGAATTGTTCTAGGAATTGACCTCCTGGATACCTAATTGGGCTATTAAAATATACCATCCCCCATAAATAAGAAATTATTTCTACAGTAAGGTATAGAAATAACTAGTTTTGCTTAGCTTTCCTTAAATGATTTCCATTTTCCAAGCATCTACAAAAAAATTACAAGATCTTTGAAATCTGCTTTTTTTTATTTTTAGTAAATGTATAGCTGAGCTGAAGATATTTAAGTTGCCTGAAAATCAGCAATATTGTTTAGGGACTTAAATTGTTTTATTACTCAAATGTGCTTAACTGAAATGCTATTTTGTTTTTGGAAGTAAATTGTGAATTTTTTCTCACAGAAAATGTACAAGCTGGCTTTGGAGGAGTCAAAGAAGAAGGGCCATGATTTGCGTTTTGACGCCATTCCCATTCAGTCTGCCAAAGCCTCCAGGGAGATTGCCAGTGAGGTGAGCAGGCTTTGTTCTCATTTCTCTGAGGATCTGGTAATGGAAAAGAATCAGAATGTTTGCTACTGTCATACTTCATAGAATAGATCATGTTGAAATCTGTTTTCTTAGTGATTCTTTTTAATGATTCCACTACATTGCCCTTAGTGCATAGAAGAAAGGGATTGCCAATGTTTCTACTGTGAGGAATACATCCCTGTAATAAATAAATAAATATAATAATGTGAAGATTATTGATATGCTCCCTGCAATCCTTTTCTTGATGTCCAAGGCTATTCCAGCAGCATGATCAAAAAGGTGTATGAACCAATGGTAGAGTTTGCCAGATTCATTTCTAATTCAAACAATATTTCTGTTCAAGTGTTACAATGAAATTCAAGATGTCTGAACATAAAAACAGGGATAAACTATGCAATGACTGTGATAGCTTTTGTTTCTGGGATGAGGAAGGATCACTTAGAGATGGAGGATAACAGATTTTTATACTCTGTGTCTTCTATCAAATTTAATATTTCAACTTTTTGTATTAAGATCACATGATATGGTCTTGATCAAGGACTTTTGTGGAAAGTTTTAAAAGTAAGTTTATATTAACAATAGTTATAATATTTATTTTAATCTTAATAGTAAAAAAATGTGAAATACCAAACTTTTAGAATATGACACTTAATGTTTAGTGAATTGAAAGTGTGTTATAGTTATATAAAAGGTCTTATCCAATAAAAATGCTTCTTATGTGAAAATTAATCCCAGAGTAGGAAGACTTACATCATCTTTTTATCTTTACAGAACAATGAGTATGTTGAACTGTTAGAATTATTTATTAATTTGTTAAAACACCAAATAACTTTAAATCTCTTCTGTTTCAGTACAAGTACAAGGAGGGGTATCGGCAGCAGCTGGGCCACCACATCGGGGCCAGGAACATCGAGGATGACCCCAAGATGATGTGGTCGATGCACGTGGCCAAAATCCAGAGTGACAGGGAGTACAAGAAGGACTTTGAGAAGTCCAAGACCAGGTTCAGCAGCCCCGTGGACATGCTGGGAATTGTGCTGGCCAAGAAGTGCCAGGAGCTGGTGAGCGACACAGACTACCGGCACTACCTGCACCAGTGGATCTGTCTGCCCGACCAGAACGACGTGATCCACGCCAAGCAAGCCTACGACCTCCAGAGTGATGTGAGTTGTCTGGCATTGGATTTTTGCTGAGGAATGAGTTTATTTTACATGGTTGGATGAGGCCATCTTGTTCTGATGTGGTAGAACCAGCTCATCCAGATTTATTTTTAAGTTTCACGGTTAATAGACCGTGAAACTTAAACTCAGATCTCCTACAGGTTATATTAACTAACTGATATTTAAATGAAATCCTGTAATTCCAGGATTTGGACTATTTATCATTTACCATTTTTTGAAAGTTGGATAATGTTTTCACTCAATGTAGGTGAAATGCTGTAATTTTTTCTACAATTTTCGTTACAGCTTTGAATTTGTTTGATTGAAGAGCTGATAGGAAGATTATTTTCCTTTGGAAAGATGCGCTGTGTAACATACATTATCATACATTAATCATTATTATGTTTATTTTATTAAAATAACTTGTGTAATTTTTTCTTAAAACAGAACTGCTACAAGTCTGACCTGGAATGGCTGCGGGGCATTGGCTGGGTCCCAATTGGTTCCTTGGAAGTTGAGAAGGCCAAGAGAGCAGGGGAGATCCTGAGTGACAAAATTTACCGCCAGCGTCCGGACACCATCAAGTTCACCAGTGTCACGGATTCCCTGGAGATGGTGTTGGCCAAGCAGAACGCAGACACCATGAACAAGGTGAGTCCTGATCCCTCTGGGTGACACCTCAGAGGTCTCTGCCTCACCCCTGGAGGCAGGACTGGGAATGAAATGAGCACAAGCAATGCTGCAGTTCAGACTTGATGTGTTTTCCATCAGTGTGCTCTCGTTAGTTTACTCAAAACTCTTGGGCCTGGTAATGGAAGACTCAAATTTGTGTAGTATTCTGCATTTTACATTTAAATATTTTCCTTGGCTTGTGTGTTCATTGGGCACTAGTAATGCTTTGGTTTATTCATTATTCTGAAGCAATGTGTCTCCTTAATGTTTTAAAACTCACTCAGATAAATTTTTCTTTTGTTGATGTTACTTTTATGAGATTAACACATAACTGTATATCCATGTTATATTTTATAGTGTCATAAAATGGTTTGGGTTAGAAGGGATAGAAAAGATAATTTTGTTCCAACCCCCTGCCATGGGAAGAGACAATTTCCACTAGACCAAGTTCCTATCATTTTAGTTATTGTGTTTTCCTTGATTATTGAGATTATTGGTTTGGAATAATATATATATTGGTCCTATAAATCTCTTCCTGTTTTCCTTCTCAGCGTTTGTACACTGAAGCGTGGAACAAAGACAAGACCACGATTCACGTCATGCCTGACACCCCAGAAATCCTGCTGGCCAAACAAAACCGAGTGAACTACAGTGAGGTGAGTGCAACTGAAAGCTGAGACAATTACAGGATTTCTGCTAAGTACACTTTTGTCACCTTCGATCTTTTATTAATGATAAATTATTGTCAGGTTGTTTATTGTCAGGCCAGTTCCAGTACTGAAATCAGAGTTGCTCTTCCACAAAATTAAATTTTCTTTTAAAATACATTATCTGCCATAAATGAGAAATCATTTCTACAGCAAGTTGTGAAAATAGGTAATTTAACTTTTTAAATGTTCCAGTCTTTGCCTTCCTTAAATGATTTCCGTTTTCCAAACATCTACAATAAAATTACAAGGTCTTTTAAAATCTGGTTAGGTTATTTTTTTCTTTTCTAGAGAACAGTATTTAAATTGTCTGAAGATGAACAATAGTTTAGGGACTTCATTTGTTTTACTGCACAGTTGTGCTGAACTGAAATGCAGTTTTGAATTTTACTTTTTGCAACTAAAATGTGACTCTTTTTCTCACAGAAAATGTACAAGCTGGCTTTGGAGGAGTCAAAGAAGAAGGGCCATGATTTGCGTTTTGACGCCATTCCCATTCAGTCTGCCAAAGCCTCCAGGGAGATTGCCAGTGAGGTGAGCAGGCTTTGTTCTCATTTCTCTGAGGATCTGGTAATGGAAAAGAATCAGAATCTATGTTCAGTTCTTTGCTAATGTCATATTTCACAAAATAGATAATATAGAAATCTCTTTTCATGTGATTCTACCAAATGCCTTTAGTGCACAGAAATAATGGATAGCCAGTATTTTTTGAGCGAGTTATGTTCACAGTAATGAATAAATATAATAACATGAAGGTTATTTATATGCTCCCATTACCATCCATGGGTGTTCAAGGAGGATGAACAAAAAGATGTAGGAGTCTATGCTAGATTTTATCAAGTTAATTTCTGATTTAAAATAGGAAGTACTTTAAAATCTCTCCCCTAATGAGATATGTAAGTAAATAAATTTTAGAAGTTTAAATGCTTGTCTTTTCTGGCGGAAAAAAATAGTTTTGTTTCAGTGTCACACTGAAATCCAAAATGCTGGAATACAAAACTGGGGAAAAAACTCTGCACTGAATGGGACAGGTTTTGTTTCAAGGACGTGACAATATCACTAAGAGACAGAGAATAACTCTTTCTGGGTTATGCTCCTTGTTTTTCTACCAAAAAATCTATTTAAATGCTTTGTGTTAAAAACAGATAAAATATATAAATATATGTGTGGATTTCTTTTCCTACAGTACAAGTACAAGGAGGGGTATCGGAAGCAGCTGGGCCACCACATCGGGGCCCGCAACATCGAGGACGACCCCAAGATGATGTGGTCGATGCACGTGGCCAAGATCCAGAGTGACAGGGAGTACAAGAAGGACTTTGAGAAGTCCAAGACCAGGTTCAGCAGCCCCGTGGACATGCTGGGAATTGTGCTGGCCAAGAAGTGCCAGCAGCTGGTGAGCGACGCAGACTACCGGCACTACCTGCACCAGTGGATCTGTCTGCCCGACCAGAACGACGTGATCCACGCCAAGCAAGCCTACGACCTCCAGAGTGATGTGAGCAAATCCTTACATTTGTAGTACAGTATTTCTGCAATACATTAATTCTGTAATACAAAATAAAGTACTCCGTACAATCCGTACACAATAAAGTACTCTTGCACAATCTAATTTTTCAAATATGGATTATAAGGCTCTAGTCGCTTGCATCAGACTTGTTGAGATGTTTTCATTCTTTCAATTCTTTCATCAAATTTATGTTTAATCCTATTTTTTCAGTTCTTCATCTGATAATAATTTGACAGAATTTCACACAATATTTTGGCGTAATTTGACACAATATTTTGTGTCTTAATCTGACAATAATTCGTGTGTTACTCTGATATTAGCATTGTTAGCACATTAGCATTACCTGCAATACCCCTTTTCTTTTTCTTATTTAATAACTATTTTACTTAACCTTCAAAACCAAGAATTGTTTTCAGAACTCTTTCCTCAGAAACATACCCAGTTGTTCATATAGGAGGTGCTTGTTTATATTTATTTTACTATTCGATCACACTTGCACGTATGTAACAGACTTTCAAATCTTTTTCAGGCTGTTTACAAATCAGACCTGGAATGGCTGAGAGGCATTGGATGGGTTCCTATTGGTTCCGTGGAAGTTGAGAAAGCCAAGAGAGCTGGAGAAATCCTCAGTGACAGGAAGTATCGGCAACCTGCAGACAAAATCAAATTTACCAGCGTGACTGATTCCTTGGCCATGGTCTTAGCCAAGCAGAATGCTGAGATCATGAACAAGGTGAGGGTGGTGGTGCCAGTTAATAGCACTTGTTCCTGAGGTGAAAAATTAAAAATACAAAGTAAAACTAAAAACTTGTGTATTTAAGAGAAAATCAATATCTAAATTCAGCCATTGCACAGGAAAGCTTCTTCTCTCGGGGCTCAGTGTGAAGTGAGCAGTTGGTAAAAATCTTCAGACAAAAGTCCCTTCAATCACAGATTTTCCAAGAGTACTACTGCATGATGAAAAAGTGATGAGGAAATACCTGAAGTTCTCTGGATGTGAAAGTGCTGCAGCATATCTCAGATCTGGAGGGTGAAAGTCACTAAGTGCCTCCTCCTTTATAACAAACATAATCAAACGTTTTATACAGAATAATTAATACACTTTTCCTCCTATGGCTGTTTCTCCACAATCCAAAATCAATCAATTGCTGCACCAGCTTAACCTGAGAAATAATGAGGAGGGATAAAGTTTCTTTCTTGAGCTGTTCAGAGAGAAGCTTTGCTGAGTCAGGGTATTAGAGCTTACTGGAGCTACCACAGCAGTTTGTAAAATAATTGTAATTGTAAAATAATTTCATAAAGAACTGTTTGTAAAGGGCTGTTTTCCTCTCTCCTAGCGCTTGTACACAGAAGCCTGGGATGCAGACAAGAAGTCCATCCATGTCATGCCTGACACACCTGACATTCTGTTAGCAAAGGCCAACGCAGCCAACGTTAGCAAGGTAAGGATATTTTAAACATTTACCAAACTAGTGGAAATTCAGAGCTAAGTCAGCATTTCTTTAATCATAAAGATGTTCTAAAATACGCATTCGTGAAAATTTTGAGAGACAGTTATGAAATGTAGAAATCCCATTTTTCAGAATATTGATAAGCCATTTTCTGTCTTCTTTTGTGTAGAAACTTTATGTAAAAGCCTGGGAAGAGGCCAAAAAGAAGGGTTATGACATGAGAGCTGATGCGATTCCAATCAAAACCGCAAAGGCTTCAAGAGATATTGCAAGTGACGTATGTTCTTCCTTTACATTTATTTTCAGTTACCTTAAAAACAAGAATATGCACTTTTGTGATCAGTAGCGATAGGAAATTATGGGGCTTTCATCCCAGATTCACTTCTTTTTGTATTTTCAGTACAAGTACAAAGAAACCCACGAGAAGGAGAAAGGCCACTACATCGGGTGCCCCAGCGCCAAGGAGGACCCCAAGCTGGCGTGGGCTGCGCGCGCCATGGCCCTGCAGAACGACCGCCTCTACAAGAAGGCCTACAATGATTCCAAGACCCAGATCCACATCCCTGTGGATGCCCTGTCGGTGCAGGCAGCCAAGGAGTGCCAGACCCTGGTCAGTGACGTTGACTACAGGCAGTACCTGCACCAGTGGACCTGCCTTCCTGACCAGAACGACGTGATCCACGCGCGGCAGGCCTACGACCTCCAGAGCGA